GAATTTTGCAATTTATGTTAGGGACTCATACTCTTCTATTTCTTCTGCGATTGATTTTGTTCTTTCTTTTCCTTTCATATTTCTGTTCTTGCATTCATTTACAAATGTAGCTGTAGGTAATTTTAACTACTTTATAATATTCCACTGTGTGACTATACCATAGTTTACTCATTTCATTGTTGCTGGACATTAGAGTTGGCTCTAGTTTGAGAGAAGGGTCCTGGAAGCAGGCGTATTTGCCACCTGCTTCCCAGCAGCACCAGTCGTCATCTGCACCCCTGCATCACGAGGTGGGCCCTCAGGGCTTCTGCCAGGCTCTCAGTTTTGCCTGTGAGCACCTAATGGAGTCTTGTGGCAAAGATCTGGAAAATGGATACCTAGAGCCCTTATGTAGGAGGTCCCCACGGGTTCTAAACTCTCATGTTAACCACACTCACCCTTGAAGAGTTTGTCAACACTTCATTGTCTTCATTCCTGCTTTTATGCCTGTTATCTCTCCCTCTCCTCTTTGCTAAAGGAAGACTGTATCCCACCTTTACTTTGATGAGCTCCTTATCCTCTGGAATTCAGTTCCTCTGACTGAATGACAATCTGAGACCTCTGATGGGCTTTTAAAAAGTTACAATTCTCGAGATTATCCAGATTTCTCTCATCATTAAGGTGGGGGCAAAATTCTCCAAGGCTGTCTGTGATTTAGGAGGAAGCAGACTGATTTTTCTTCCTCTTCTTGCCACCACCATTCTCTATCCCCTTTCTCTGCCTGATTTTTCTTTGTAATACTTGAAACTATCATTAATATTTATGTATTGCCCATCTCCCTCACAAGCACATAAATTCCATTAAGGCAGAATATTTGTTTTATCCATTTCTATATCTCTGGCACTTAATAGACACTCAATAAAAATTGTTGACTAAGCACAGGCAGGAAAACCCAAAGACCAGGACGTTTTCTCCAGTATTTCGCATCTGCCTGTTTTCATGAGAATATACTTCCTCTGATGTCCCTCTCTCCCTTGTTCTGCCATGTTTTTCACATGTCCCATTCCAGCTATATTCGTATTCATCTTTTAATCGAGCCAATCTGTTTGCTTTCAGTATCTCCATATGCCCTGATAACAGAGAAGTGGGGACCCGTCCGTGGGCTGCTGTCTGTCTTCCCCTGATTTGCTGTTCTTTGCTCTCAGCCCCGCAGCTGGCCTGCAGGTGCTTCTGCACCCCTGCCCGTCTGACTCTTCGTCCTGGCGGGCTGTCATCCCGGGATCTCTGCCCTGCTGCAGAAGGCCCTCCCCGCTCCCACCCTGAGGCCAGTTCTTCTGTGGTCAGGACTGATGTGTGCCTCACAAAGAGCGAACTCTATTCAGAGCATTGTGGCTCCCATCCTGCCCTCCTGTTTGTTTTGCTGTGGCTGTTCTTGGCTCCTGCTGAGGGTTTTAATCATTTTTACTCATTACTGATTTAGAAGAGACGGCATGAGAAGGAAGTTGGAGGGCGTGGAATTGGTCAGTGCTCTGCTTGCCTCAGGGAGCAGCACAAAGAGGGGTAGATGGGTGGGCGTCCCCCTTCTCTGTTGATTCTAGGCCATATTATTGCTTGAGGGGGCTCCACTCCTGGCAAGAGAACCAGTGCATTCTCCCATCTTTTATAAAGTGATCCTTTTTCAAAAAAATCTGGAGTTTACTGTGTCTCAGAGTTGTATGTTTTTGTTTTGTTTGCTTAAATCAGATCCAAATGTGTTACAACTGATGTTCATTTCTGCCTGACCCTGGCACAAGATGCAGCGACTTTGTTATGTTTTACTGGGTTATCCTTTGTGAGACTGCATTAAGGAATGCTCAACAGACACCATGTTGACTGAGACCTCCTGCACTATTTTCCAGGTGTAGGTTGGAGCTTTTATGATTAGGAAACTTCAAGTTTGTTAAACATGTCACTGAATTTGAAGTCGTTTTTTGTCATCACCTAGTTTTTGAATCAGTTAATATTAAAATTACTGTCTCTTGATGATCCCCAGTATATTCTTTTCTGTAAGAAAAAAAAAGTAAAACAAACTCTCCTAATCCAAATGGTTTGTAGTCATTCTTCCATGTGACTATGAGATATGAGTCCTTACCCTATGAGATAACATTTACTCCTCTATCTTTCAAAACCACTTCCATCTTTGAACTATTAGTTTAAGTAATAATTCTGGATTGGAGAACAGAGATATTTCAGAAAACAGAAAGAAGTATGGTTGTAAAAACAACCTCGGTTATTCCAAAATCTGAAGGTTAAAACAATAGCTGCCTTGATTTACTGACTCATGTATTATCTGAGAAAAAGTTGATTAAAACAGATTTTGACACTTTTTATCCACTGGAACTTGAACTTCATTGGGAAAATGGTTCTGAGGGGGTAAGCATGTTGACTAATTGGCTTGTTCATCCCACATGGGATTATACTACTTTCTGAACCAGAATTTCCTGCTGTTGCAACATGTTTTTTTCTTTATTCTTTTTTTTTTTTTTTTTCCTTAGAAGCAATCCATTTGGGTTCATTACATGGCCATTTGTTCGTCTGGGGCATTGTACTTGTTTGTAACTACAGTGAAGTCATAGTAAGTCAGGACTGTCTGTATACACAGAGTCAATGGGAGATCCTGCAGCTGCTCAGGGAAGGCGGCCGTGCTATGGGTCACTCTGACATTTGAAACCCCAAATCCTGCTTTCCCAAAGTCCTGGGGCACTTTCATGTTGATCATCAAGAAGATTTGTTCAAGTTTGGTTTGCTTATTTACTGTATGCTGTTCATAGGATCAGACTGTTGAACTTGGTTTTTTAAGCTTTTTATTGAAGTGTAATATTCTCAGTATTGGGAGAAAGCAATGGCACCCCACTCCAGTACTCTTGCCTGGAAAATCCCATGGACGGAGGAGCCTGGTAGGCTGCAGTTCATGGGGTCGCTAAGAGTCAGACACGACTGAGTAGCTTCACTTTCACTTTTCACTTTCGTGTGCTGGAGAAGGAAATGGCAACCCTCTCCAGTGTTCTTGCCTGGAGAATCCCAGGGATGGGGGAGCGTGGTGGGCTGCCATCTATGGAGTCGCACAGAGTTGGACACGACTGAAGCGACTTAGCAGCAGCAGCAGCAGCATTCTCAGTATTGAAGTGTAAAATTCTCAAGCTGGAATCAAGATTGCTGGGAAAAAATATCCACAGCCTCAGATATGTAGATGATACCACTCTAATGGCAAAAAGCAAAGAGGAACTAAAGAGCCTCTTGATGAGGGTGAAAGAGGAGAATGAAAAACTGACCTAAAACTCAGCATTCAAAAAGCTAAGATTATGGCGTCCAGTCCCATCACTTCATGGCAAACAGAAGGGGAAAAATGTGAAAACAGTGACAGATCTTATTTTATTAGGCTCCAAAATCACCACAGACAGTGACTGCAGTCATGAAATTAAAGGTTCTTGCTCCTTGGAAGAAAAGCTATGACAAGCCTAGACAGTGTATTAAAAAGCAGAGACATCACTTTGTTGACAAAGGTCCATATGGTCAAAACTATGGTTTTTCCAAAGCTATGTTTTTTATTTTTATTTTTTTGGTGGTTTTTCCACTGAAGCATCAATTCTTCGGTGCTCAGCTTTCTTTACAGTCCAACTCTCACATCCGTACATGACTACTGGAAAAACCATAGCCTTGACTAGATGGATTTGACTAGACATGGTTGACCAGACTAGTCAACCACAGACTTGACTAGTATTTATACTCACACTCAATATAGGAGAGTTCTAGTTATTCCACCTCCTCACTAATGTTTTCTATCTTTTTCATTTTAGCTATTCCAGTGGCTATGTACTGTGATTTAATATATATTTCCTTGTTGATAATGAACCTGAGTGACTTTCATTAGTGATTTGTGTGTCTGTCTTTGAGAATTGTCTATTTAAGTTTTTTTTCCCACTTTTCTATCATTTTACTCTCCTTTTTGTTACTGTTTCATAGGGGTTCTTTATATAATCAGAATATGGGGCTTTGTTGAAAATGTTGCCTTTTCACTCTTGTAATGGAATCTTTTGATGAACAAATACTCCTAATATTTTTAAAGTCCAGTTTTTTATTTTTTCACTTTATAGTTTGCACTTTTCTTATCCATTTTAAGAAATCTTTGAATACTCTAAGTTGACAAAGCTATCCTCTGCTTTCCTCCAACATCTTTATTTAAATTTGTAATTCATCTGACTTGATATTCATATATTGTATAATCCAGAGATCAATACATAATTTCCATGTAGATATCCTGTTAGCCCAGCATCATTTCACTTGGTTTTTAACTTGTTTAAAGTATATCTATGAAATTTAGTTTTACTGAGATATTTTTATATTTTCCTAGAGATAATTATTAATGATTCTCAGAAAATAATTTAAGTCTATGATGGTGTAAAATTTATAATATAATCTATAAATTTATTTAGCATGTAAATTGAGATATTTCTTAAAAGTTATTTTGTTTAATTAGACTCTAGTTTGTAATACCAGCATATTTATGCAACACTAGAGTGATTTATAATGCACAAACACAATAATTAAAAACAAATTAATTGTTCTCACTTTTTCATTTAAATTCAATTCAACACATGTTTATTATTTGTCTGCTAGAATTTGGAACAACTGAGAATATGGTTAAAGTTTTGAACTCTATTTGCATGTCATTTAGGTTTCAAGCCATATAATAAAGTTGTCAAACATTCATCAATAATAAATAATTTTTCTTTAGTATTCAAAATTATATTAATAGAGGTACAAGGTGAGAAGTTTTATTCCTATTAAGATGACCTTATACCCCTTATGTAATGCCTCTATACCAAGTTTTCCATTAGCAATGACACAATTCTTTTAAGAAGTAAAAATAGAAAAGAAAATATAAAGCTTCTTTTCTGTATTTGGAATGCCTGTGAATGCTTCTTCTTTGATGTCATTTCTGCTTGGTTTTTATTTTTTTCTCGTTTTATTATTTGTTCTAGATTGTACTGGTCAGTGGACATCTGGACAGCTGGGATGTCGGGCAGGGTGCCTTGGATGATGGTGGTGGAGCCTTTATATCATGGGAAGCCCTCTCGGTTATTAAAGATCTTGGTAAATATTTAGAGAGTAGTTAACCGATGTGTGAGGTTGTCAGTGGTGATGTTTAACTCAACACACAAAATGCTCAGCAGATTAGTTGCTGTGGAATGTTCAAAGAGTCTCCTGAGGTCTGTATGTTTTTTGTCAGTTGATTCCCAGAAAAGAACTAATTTGTCCCCTTAAAGAAAGAAATTTTTATTCAAGTGTCCACCAGACAGCCAAAGTATCAAATATAATCAGCCACTGGGGAAAATGAACAAGCTAATAAAACTACAGCAAATGCAACCACATCAGCTAGAGACTATGTAAGGAAACCATAAACAAGTGGAAAGAAAAATCAGTAGCTCCCCCACTTACTTTTCCTTGTTTAAAGACATCATCAAGCTGCTCGGATAGCTTTGCTGCACTCATCTTTCCATATCTGAAGTCAAGGAGAACAAAGTAGGCCTGGAGGAATGATTCTTTTTGCCACAGTGAGTAATCCAAGATGAAAAACTGGACCTTGCCTGTTAACCTAGACATGGGGTAAGATAGATAGGCATACAAAGCTAGGACTAATTGTGAAAACAGTTTTTTTTGATGACCCTATTTGCAAACAAAAAACATACATTTCCTCTTTGTGTGCTGGTCAAGAGGTGGATTTTGAGTGATGTTAGAAATAAATCAAACAATCTGAAATGAGAATTCCATGTCTGAATCAGACCAGTGGTGGTTTGGAAAATGCTTCATCAGCAGAATGTTTCCTATTGTGACTGTGGAGTTTCAGATGTCATAGAGATCAGAGCCCTCCCCTTGGTGAAGGCATTCCATTGCTTACTTAAATACCCATGTGTTTAGATCTAAGCTTTGCCTCTGACTTTTAATGAACCCTTCTAACCCTAAATCAGCTCTTTAAATGATTATCTTTTTTTTTTCTTGGACTGGAGTCCTGTGTTTTTTTTATTAATTAATTTATTTTAATTGGAGGATAATTATCTTACAATATTGTGATGGTTTTTGCCATACATCAACATGAATCGGCCACAGGTATTCTATTGTTCATCTTAACAATAGACTACTTGAATTGTCTTGAGTTGGGGCAAATCTTTAGTGTATAATTTTGATTTTTGTCTTACTTGTGTTTTAAAAATGGAAAAATGGAAAGGTGACTGTGCAATTTCTTTACTTCTAAATAGGCCAAAGTCTCGCAACCCTGGCATTACTGCTGTTTGAGGCCGGATAATTGTTTTTTTTTTTAATTGAAATATAGTTTATTTACAATGTTGTGCCAATCTCTGGTATACAGCAAAGTGACTCAGTTACACATATATGTGCCTTCTTCTTTTGTATTCTTTTCCAGTATGGCTTAATCACAGGTTTAATTATTTCATCGAATACAGTTCTCTGTGCTATATATTAGGACCTTGTTTTTTATGCATTACAAATTCAGTGGTTTGCTCTGCCGTGAGGTCTGTCCTGTGCATTGGGATGTTTAGCTCCATTCCTCCTAGATGCCAGTAACACAACTCCCCCCACACCCAAGTCGTGACAGTGAAAAATGTCTCCAGACGTTGTCAAATGTCCCCCGGTGGGCTGTGGGGGGAAAGGGTGGCATGTAAAATTGCTCCACTAAAATAGGCTAATTAAAGAACTCTAGGACACCTGAATACAAGGTCATTTTAAAAAAAACAAAACAAACTAATTAATAACTTTGTATTGTATATACTTATACTTTAAACATCATTACCATACTAAACACCTGCTATGTGAAAGCATCCTGTAAAAGCTGAGCACACTACATACTCTGTTCTTAAGACCCTTAGAATATAACTAAAGACATACATATGCACCTACCTTCATAGTTATCAATAAAGATATAATATCAAGTCTGCTTTTAGATTTGAGTAATGTTTGAAAGATAAATTGTCCAGCAAATAAAAACAGAAACACTCATTCCTTCAGAGAAGATCTGGGAAACTCTACATGTGAATTCTTTCCTCATCTTCCTTAAAAAAATATCCCTTTGGCTATCTTCCCTTAATTTCATTCCAGAATGAAGTGGGTTCGAGAGATGAGGCAGGCAACTATCAAAAATTTTCCTCTCCATAGGCACAGATATTTATTTTGGAAGTTAATTTTAATTCAGTGTGTTCCAGCCAGCTTGACTGAAGGCACAATGGTAGTGTGAAAAGAGACCCATCTCAATTAGATTTTTAGGTCACTCTGTGCCACAAACGACTTTTTTGGGCTGGGGCAGGTCATTTGAACTCTCTGGATTCATTTTTCTTCATCTCTCTTCAACTGTTAGCTTCCAGAGTATTTTACCTGCTCTTGTTGTTGTGCAGTCACTCAGTCATGTCATTCTCGTTGTGACTCCATGGACTGCAGCACGTCAGTCTTTCCTTGCCCTTCACAATCTCCTGGAGTTTGCTCAGATTCATGTCCATTGAGTCAGTGATGCCACCCAACCACCTCATCCTTTGTCTCTCCTTTCTCCTTCTTCCCTCAATCTTTCCCAGCATCAGGATCTTTTCCAGTGAATCGACTTTTCCCATCAGGTAGCCAAAGTACTAGAGCTTTAGCATCTGTCCTCACAATGAATATTCAGGGTTGATTTCCAATTGATTGGTTTAATCTTGCTGTCCAAGGGACTCTCAAGAGTCTTCTCCAGCACTACATTTTGAAAGCATCAATTCTTCAGGGCTCAGCCTTCTTTATGTTCCAACTCTTACATCTGTACATGACTACTGGAAATGGTATAGTTTTGACTGTATGGACCTTCATCAGCAAAGTGATGTCTCTGCTTTTTAATATGCTGTCTAGGTTTGTCATAGCTTTTCTTCCAAGGAGCAAGCATCTTTTAATGTCATGGCCACAATCACCATCTACAGTGATTTTGGAGCCCAAGACAATAAAGGCTGCAACTGTTTCCATTTTCCCCCATCTATTTGCCATGAAGTGATGGGACCAGATGCCATGATATTAATTTTTTGAATGTTGAATTTTAAGCCAGCTTTTTCACTCTCCTCTTTCACCTTCATCAAGAGGCTCATCAGTTCCTCTTCACTTTCTGCCATTAGACTGTTATCATCTGCATATCTGAGGTTTTGATATTTCTCCCTGCATTCTTGATTCCTGCTTGTGATTCATCCAGCCCAGCATTTCACATGCTGTACTCTGCATATAAATTAAATAAGCAAGGTGACAGTATATAGCCTTGATGTACCCCTTTCCTAATTTTAAATCAGTCCATTATTTCATGGTGGATTCTAACGGTTGCTTCTTGACCTGCATACAGATTCCTCAGGAGGCAGATAAGGTGGTCTGGTATTCTCTTCTGTTTAAGAATTTTGCATAATTTGTTATGAGCCACACAGTCAAAGGCTTTAGCTTAGTCAATGAAGCAGAATTAGATGTTTTTCTGGAATTCTCTTGCTTTTTCTTTGATCCAGCGGATGTTTGCAATTTGATCTCTGGTTCCTCTGCCTTTTCTAAATCCAGCTTGTACATCTGGAAGTTCTCAGTTCACATACTGTTAAAGCCTAGCTTGAAGGATTTTGAGCATTACCTTGCTAGCATGTGAAATTAACACAATTTTATGGTAGTTTGGACATTCTTTGGCATTGCCCTTCTTTGGGATTGGAATGAAAACTGACCTTTTCCTATGATCGCTGCTGAGTTTTCCAAATTTCCAGGCATAATGAGTGAAGCCCTTTCACAGCAGTATCATCTTTTAGGATTTGAAATAGTTCAACTGGAATTCCATCACCTCCACTAGCTTTGTTTATAGTAATACTTTCTAATGCCCACTTGACCTCACATACCAGGATGTCTGACTCTAGGTGAGTGACCGCACCATCATGGTTATCTGGGTCATTAAGACCTTTTTTATATAGTTCTTCTGTGTATTCTTGCCACCTCTTCTTAATCTCTTCTGCTTCTGTTAGGTTCATCCCATTCCTGTCCTTTATTGTGCCCATCTTTACATGAAATGTTCCCTTATGTCTAATTTTCTAGAAGAGATCTCTAGTCTTTCCCATTCTCCTGTTTTCCTCTATCTCTTTGCATTGTACTCTTAAAAGGACTTTCTTATCTCTCCTTGCTATTCTTTGGAACTCTAAATTCCGTTGGATATATCTTTCCCTTTCTCCTTTGCCTTTTGCTTCCCTTCTTTTCTCAGCTATTTGTGAGGCCTCCTCAGACAACCATTTTACCTTCTTGCTTTTCTCTTTCTTTGAAATGATTTTGGTCACTGCCCCTGTTCAATGTTATGAACCTCCATCCATAGATCTTTAGGCACTCCATCAGATCTAATCCTTTGAATCTATTTGTCACTTCCACTGTATAATTATAAGGGATTTGATTTTGGTCATACCTGAATGGCCTAGTGGTTTTCCCTACTTTCTTCAGTTTAAGTCTGAATTTTGCAACAAGGAGCTCATGATCCGAGCCACAGTCAGCTCCAGGGTTTGTTTTTGCTGACTGTACAGAGCTTCTCCATCTTCAGCTGCAAAGAATATAATCAATCTGATTTTGGTATTGATCATCTTATAATGTTCATGTGTAGAGTCATCCCTTGTGTAATTGGAAGAGGGTGTTTGCTACCACAGTGTGTTCTTTTGGCAAAACTCTGTTAGCCTTTGTCCTACTTGACTTTGTACTCTAAGACCAAACTTGCTTGGTACTCCAGATATCTCATGACTTCCTACTTTTGCATTGCAGTCCACTATGATGAAAAGGACATCTTTTTTTGGTATTAGTTGTAGAAGGTCTTGTAGGTCTTCATAGAACTGTTCAACTTCAGCTTCTTTGGAATCAGTGGTGGGGGCATCAACTTGGATTACTGTGATGTTGAATAGTTTGCCTTGGAAGTGAACTGAGATCATACTGTTGTTTTTGAGATTGCACCCAGGTACTGCATTTCAGACTCTTCTGTTGAGTATGAGGGCTATTCCATTTCTTCTTAGGGATTCTTGCCCACAGCAGTAGACATAATGGTCATCTGAATTAAATTTGCCCATTCCTATCCATTT